GTTATTTGGGTCGTCCCCAGGCTAGACCCACTCCCTGAGGGGCGCCCCCAGCAACAGGTGCAGTGCGGCTGTTAGAATTCAAGCATCACGGAAATTAGCTTCCTGTCACAATGACAAAGTACACATTACAGTGGAAATTCTGGTACTCCCTAGAAAAGTTCTTAATTTTTTTGTAGAAAGGAATGTAAATGTACTAATCAGTAAATTCAAACACTCTATTACATGCCCAGTGTTGTTAAGTGGACAGACTTAAAGTTTGGCTGACTAAAGATGAGCATACTTCATAAAGAAGACATTTATGAGAAATGGGTGAATGGCAGGATTTCATGATGATAGTGAAATAGACCTTAAGTTAGTTGTTCATCAAGGTAAGTCTTAGTTTGTCTCCAATGAAGTCAAGGAGAGATATTACTTGGAGTGAAAACGCCACCTAAAATACTTTAATCTCACAATAGTTATGAATTTGTTTGATTTATAATCTTAATATTTACTTGATAAAATAATAATCTTATGTGTGTTTCTTAACTTAAAACAGACACACCAATTATTTGGACCTCCCCAAGGCTAGAACTACTCGCTGAAGGGCTTCTCCCAGCATTCAAGAGAAAGGCCACTGGGTCTATGAACTAAAACCAAAATTTCACAAAAATTTTTTTAACACTGGTATTTGGGTAGAGGACCTGTACCTATAGGCTAATCATGACATATATGGTTTTACCGTCAATGACAATTTTGCCTAAATCAATAAATATTTATGCAGACCCAACATATGCAAAAACTGGTTAAATGAGCTGCCCCCTTCTTATTTCTATTTCCCATTGAAAAGTAAAAGAGAAAGACTAAATAAAATAAAATTACTGAAAAAGAGAAATCTTTTTTAAAAGCAACAGGGAAAACAAACACTATCCAGAAGCACCAACAGGGCAAGTGTCTCTGTAACAGAGAACAAGAGGACACCTTGCCAGGTGCCAAGTTGGAGGGGTCATCCAGGAAGGGCTTCTTTTTATTTTTTAAAATATATTTTTATTGATTTCAGAGAGGGAGAGGGAGAGAGAGAAACATCAATGATGAGAGAGAATCACTGATTGGCTGCCTCCTGCATGCTCAACTGTGGGAATCGAGCCTGAAACCTGGGCATGTGTCCTGACTGGGAATTGAACCCTGACCTCTTGGTTGCTAGGTCCACGCTCAGCCACTGCGCCATGCTGTGGGGCTGGGGAGTGTTGATTTTTTTTTTTTTAATTTTAGCCATGCTGATGAGTGCAGAGTGGTATCTCATTGTTAATATTACCTAATGACTAATGATGATGCTGAGTACCTTTTCCTGTGTACTAGTCATTCATAAATTTTCTCTGGTGAAGTGGTGGTATTTGAGTCATTTTTAAAAAATGAGTTCTCTTAACTTTGAGTAGTGTAAAATAACAAAAAAAAGTCTATATTGGCCACTTCCCCAATACCTAACACAGAGCTTTCAAAACCCTTGTAAGGGGGGGCGGCTGGGAGAATCTTTGGTTCTAATCTTTAGTCTTTGGCCTGGGTTCCTGACACAGAGCTCCTAAGACTTTTGTAATTCCCTAGGTGACAGGAACATCTGACACTGAGCTCCTAAATCCTTTGGAATTCCCTGGTGACAGGGACATCATTTGTTCTGAGGAGACTCTGGGTGGGCTCCTGGTTACCAGAAAGAGCATGATTAGAAGCTTGGAACTTTCAGTGCAGTCCCTCAGTCTCTGGAGAGGGCAGGGGCTAAGCAACAGTGCCAATGTGATAAAGCCTGCATAGAAACCCCAGTAGTTCAGGGTTCGGGGAGCTTCTGGGTTGGTGAGCATATCCATGTGCCAGGAGGGTGGTGCACCGCTACACAGGGACAGAGGCTCTTGTGCTAAGGACCCTTGTAGACCTCACCCTATTTATCTCCTCATCCAGCAGTTCATGTGTGTCCTTTATTACATCCTCTATCTACAATAATAAAAGTGTAATATGCTAATTAGACCAGATGTCCTTCTGGATGTCCTTCCTTCCGGACAAAGCCACAGTGGGCAGGGGCTGGGGCAGAGGCAGCTGCTGCGGTGGCAGGGGCCAAGGCCCTTGCATAATTTTGTGCATCGGGCCCCTAGTCTTATATAATAAAAGCGTAGTATGCAAATTGCCCCCTTGACTGAGAGGTGTCTGGGATTTCAACCAGGGGCCAGGGCCAGCCAGGGGAAGCTGGCAGCCACTAGGGACCCTACCAGTGCACGAATTTCATGCACTGGACCTCTAGTTATACAATAAACCAGCAAACAGAAGTGTTCCCCTGAGTTCTGAGAGCTGTTCTAGCAAATGATTTAATCCCAGGAGGATCATGCAAAACTAAAATTGTAGTTAAACTGGACAGAAGTTATGGGTAACCTGGTGTGATATTGCGATTTATAATAAGAAATATACATTTGGTCTTCTTCCACCGTTCCTGGCACAGAACTCCCAAAGCCTTTTGATTTCCTATATACAACCATAGGGGCATCTTTTGTTACATTACATGGCCTGTGCCACCAGTTACTGAAATAGCTCCGGAGCCATAAAGAAAAAAAGGAGTGTCTTGCTATGCACGACTAGCCTCTTTTCAACCACACCTGAGTGTATGTCAATGAGGTAACTTTTGAAAATCCCTAAAGATGGGGGGCTGTCAAAGGAACCAACCATAATTAGAGAATTACAACTTTTAATCCCACTGCTTCACTCTGACCTGCAGAGAGGGAGGGGCTGGAGGTTGAATCAATCCCAGTGGCCACCCAGCTGGCGTGGCTCAGGGGTTAAGCATCAACCCATCGAACCAGAAGGCTACGGTTCCCTGTCAGGGGGCACATGACCGGGTTGCAGGCTCGATCCCCAGTATGGGGCGTGCAGGAGGCAGCTGATCAATGATTCTCTCTCTCATTGATGTTTCTCTCTCCCTCTCTGAAATGAATTAAAAAATTTTTTTTTAAAAATCACAGTGGCCCATGATTTCATTAGCTGTGCTTAAGAAACAGCGCCTCCACAAAAACCCCACAGGAGGGGTTCAAAGGTCTCAGGTTGAACACCTAGAGATGGTGGGAGAGTAGCCCAGAGGTCATGAAAGCTGAGGCCCTTCCTGCATACCTCGCACTACACATGTCTTCCATCTGGCGGTTCCCGAGTTCTATCCCTTTATAACAAACCAGTGATTTACTAAGTAAAATGCTTCTCCGAGTTCTATGAGCTGCTCTAGCAAATGCATCAAATCCTGATAGGGGCAGTGGGCATGTCTGATCTACAGCCATCCAGCAGCCCGGGGAACCACAGGGGCTGCTTCCTAGGACTGAGTCCTTCACCTGTGGGATCTGACATTATTTTCCAGAAGACAGTGTCAGAATTGAGCTCAATTGTAGGACATCTGGACACGATCTCAGTATTCGGGGGATTGCAGACTTGCTTGGTGGTAGAAAAAACAAGCATCATTCCTCGGGACTATTACTTGTGATTGGTGAAGTGGGAAGCAGTCTTGTGGGGCTGAGCCTTAACCTGTGCAGTTGAATTGTAGGATGCTCAGCTGCTGGGGGGAAAACCCCACACATCTGGTGTCAGAGAATGTGGCTGTAATGTGAAAGTAAAGGAGAAAAGGGAGCTTTCCCTCTGAGCAGAACTTACTGGTAAGTCTTCAGATGCAAATCCTTTGTCATTTTGAACATTTCCTCTCAGAAGTTATTTCCGTGCTCTGATCAACTTTTATTGTATGGACAGCCTCTAACAGACTGCCCACTGGAAACCCATGCTGACAACCCAGTATTTGAGTGCCTTTCAGACTTAATCAGAACATGAATGCCAAAGTCCTTTCTCCTTCTTTTGGTGATAACATTTAAGTCTACTCTCTTAGCAGATTTCAATTACATAATACAATGCTATCTTATAATAATAAAAGTGTAATATGCTAATTAGACCGGACATCCTTCTGGATGAAGCCGGGGCTGCGAGGGAAGCCTGGGTCCCAGAGGGAAGCAGGTGTCAGCAACCAGGGGAAGGAAGGCCTACTCTTGCACAAATTTCGTGCATCAGGCCTCTAGTTAACTATAATCATGTTACCCATTAGATCCTCAGACCTTATTCATTTTGTAACTAAAACGAAGTTTTACCCACCTTTCCATATTTCCCCTAATCTGTAGTTCCTGGTAATCACTTTTCTACTTTTGACTTCTAAGATACCACATGTGACACTACTTAGTACTTTCTGTCTCTGACTTCTCTCGCTTGGCATAATGTCAAGGTCCACCCAGGTTGTTGCAAATGGCAGGACTTCCTTTCCTCATAGCTGCATATGTACACTTTATCCATTCATCTGTGGATGGACACTCAAGTTGTTTCCACATCTTGGTATTGTGAATGACGCTGCTATGAACACAGGAGTGCAGGCATCTCGAGAGCCTGTTTCATTTCCTCCTAATCGTGGTCCTTTCTTGATATGAATAAAACAGACAAATGAACACGGATCCGGACTATCAACACAATTTATGTTTTGCAAAGCTTTAGTTCCAGTGGCCAGGCTTGTTTTCCGATGGTCTCTGACTGCTGGATAAAGAATGTGGGTGCCCCTTTTTCCAGGTTCCTGAAAGGTAGCCTTTAAACCTTGGAATTTCCCAGTGATAGGTCTATTATTTGGGAACCTCCCAAATCTGTAAGCAGCTAAGAAGTGAGGATAGCCCTGGGGATTCCTAGGCTTGCAGCGGTGTGTGAAATGAGGGCGGTTTTGTGGAGGACGGGGGCCCTTCACCTTTGAAGTTGGGCGTAACTTGAGGCAGCTAGTGTCAGGTCTCCTGTATTCACTGCCACTTGTTTGCCTGACCTACTTTCTCTTATCTCAAAGCTCTTTGATTCAACAGTTGTGACTATTTTGAGAGGAAACCTATTTTGCATTATAACATCTGTGTAAAAAGCATTGTAATTGTGGATAACAGTAATTATTTGTGAAGAACTCAGATACCAGACACATTTTTATCCAACAAACTTTTATTAAGTCTGTTGCACAGGTACATTCTAGTCGACCGGACACAAAGATAAGACAGTTCTTGCCGTCAGGGAGCTTCCAGTCTAGGGAAGACTCGGACCAACGTGGACAGTAGAAATGCTTGGTGCCATGGAAGGAACAGGAAACAGGAAGAATGTCACTGCCAGGTGAGTGGATGAGGAAGAGAAGCAGGGCCTGGAAGAAGTGACATTGGACTGAAGTGTGAGAGCTGAGCAGGGAGTACCCAGGAGGAAGGGGCACGCTTGGGAGAGGTGGTGTGGAGGTTGGGGGGAGGCGGGGCGCCTCGGTCCTGACTGCAGGTGAGTGGCACGCAGCAGAGGTCAGAGTTGCAGTTAGAGAAACACCGGCCAGAACACCAAAGGCCTTATACACACGATGACAAGAAGTCTGGATTCTATGTTCCAGGTGCTGGGAAGCACTGAAGGATTTCAAGCTAATAAAGTGTTTTGGAAAAAAATATTTAGAGCAGTGTTACAATAGATTATATGTCCTCGGAGCCTGGAATGAGTTTTAGGAAGTGATGAGGTAATTCTGGAGGAAAACAGGAGGCCTTGGAATGAGGAATTAGAAACAAGCGACATATGCACCTGAGGGGTCAGCACCAGTGAGGCTGAGGGCTCGGTGTGGCTGTGCGCTCCTCACTGCAGGCGACTGGGGAAGAAAGCATGTCTGGTGGGAAGAGGTTCAGTTCTTAGTGGAACACTAAGAGCAGCAGGCCTGCGGTTCAATAGCTGGGTTGGCAGCTCAGGAAAAAAAATTGAAAGTGAAAATACAGACAGGAATGCCATGAATTCAAGAAAATTTTATTAGAAAGTACGTATGAGGTTAAAAACAGAGGCAGACCCTTCTAGATAAAGGATAGTAAAACCACAAAGATCCACTCCATTAAAAATGAAATCTAAAATGTTTAGAAATGTAAGATAAGGAACAGGGTCCTGAGGCCGATTCCGGCCCCTACAGCAGTCCTCCTATGTCACAGCTGTGAGGGCTCTCTCAGCTTCTGAACTCTCAGGGGGAGCAAGATCAGCCAGGTGACGTTTTAAAGTAGCAAAATTGAGCATCGTCTTGAATTTCTGCTTGTCTCTCCACTGTATAGATTTGCTATTCCTGATCTTTTGGGGGGGACCACCTTGTTTATTTGAACATTTCCCGTGCTTCCTCTTACAGGAGCTGGGTGGCGGGGCACAGCTCAGGCCACAGGTACTGAAGCTTCAAGAGTGGAGAACACTGACTTAAAAATCAGATAAAAAAAGGAGACGATCCCCTGGGAGGACCTCAATCCTAATGGTACAACCAGTGGGATGGTATCGGGATTCATAAAAGCCGTCAGGCACCGAGGTTCCCGGACACTGATCTCCTAGGAACACTTCTTCAGGGGCCACGGGTAGGTTGTTGCCAAGTGCAGTTGACTTGACTCTGGCCAGGTACAGAGAGGGGCTGCATGGTTCGTATACTGGTTGTTCTCCACAGCAAGTCCAAACCAGAGAAAAAAGGAGGTGCAGGCCCCCTAACAGCAGAAAGCCCTTCACCTGGCCAGAGCCCCAGGCAACATCCATTCAGAGAACAGGAAGTTAGGAAAGCCATAACTTTAACAGTGACCGTGGAGCCACGGGAGTGGATAAGCCCTCCTAGGCTCTCATTGAGTTGTACTGGAAACAGCTAGATGTGCAAAACTCAGAGGAAGGGGGTGCTGACCATTAAGTCGGGTACACTCTAATATGCAGAAGGGGAAAGCCAGCAGGGAGGAGTAGGCAGAACTATGGAAGAGGCTATAGATGAGACACGTTCTCTGTAAAAGAGGGAGAAGAGATGCACTGCAATCCAGAGAAAGGTAAGGAGTCATGCTCATCACACAAGATGAGGAACCCTGTATTCCCTGAAAAAAACCACATCAGTAGGGGGAGACTAGAGACAACACTGAAGTTTAACTCCTAGCTAGTCATGTGTCCAAGGTAGACTATTCCCAGGGACAAAAGCAAACCAAGAATATCAGGTAACATGAGATTCAAGCAGGGGCACAGCAGGTGAACAAGGGTCACTGGGCCACCACGTCCACCAGAGCAGGTCGTCTGGCATCCATGTGAGTGGCACTTCCTGCGGCCGTGCAGTGCACAATCGGTTCACTGCACTCAGTCACCCTGGCAGTTCCCACAGGGGAGGACCTAGCTCTTTTGGGCTCTTGCTTTGCAAAAGGGATGAGACCTTCGGTATAAATATCAAAACTGAAAATATAGACTGCAGTAGAGGGGTGAGCCTAGAAGGACTGAGAGCTGGCCAAATGTATCCACACATCACAGGGAACTTTTCCCGGTGGTAAGGAATGGCAGCCAGACTACAGCCCAGCCAGTGCCTTTAATGCACAGAGAGACCATATGAAAACATCAGCCCAGGAAGCAGGGTTCAGAAAGGGAACTTGTCTATGCGGCTCAGAAGGGTTCCATTAGTGAGTGTGCTGGGTGGAAGATCGACATTTCCGTGTCTTCCCAGAGTCTAGTAATTATACTCACTTACCTATTTGGATGTAATGCTCATCAAGTATCTTCAAACGGCAGCTAAGAGAAGGAATGCCCTAAGTAGAATACTCATTCTTTGTCTCTCCCCAACACCAGTACAGCTGACAAAATAGCAGCCAGCTCTGTGTCTCAGAAACCAGTAGATGTAGTTAGGATCAGTCCACACTCAGAAATGTGTCTGGGCAGCCTGAAGGGTCCTGTCAGCACGTCTGTAGGCTGAAGTCCATCCGCAAGGCTGTCCATCTGCACCGAGTTAGGATCCCTGGACAACACCCTACCAACAGTCCCCCCAAAACCATGACACACATCAACTGTGGTTATCTGGGGCCCGTCAAGCATCCAGAAAGAGGTTCCATGTGTTACCTGGATATTATAAAAAGAGCAGAATTAGACCAAGCTATTAGAGCAGTGTCGAGCATATCAACCTCATTCCCCTCTTCCCGCTGTGCAGCTGGTCCGTGTGTACAGCAGGCGTCACTATGGTCAGGTCACCCCAGGGAGCGCAGCCATGAATGCTGCATTCCCCTCTCGGTGTCATCTCTAGAGGGCGGAGATGGTAACTTGTGCTTCTCCCTGGCCCCGAGAGAACAGAACACACCGCCCTATGCATGGCCCTCGGAAAATGTTTTTTGTACTGAAAGGCACGGTAAGGGCCAGTTAGTTATTATAGGTCTTCAAATTAGTTGTGCAAGGACTTAGGCTAAATCTCTGCAAGTGGTGAACACTCCCGGATGTGCAAGGATCTCGGAAAAATGTGATCCTCATGAAAAAAAGGAAGCCTAGCTCTCAGGAGGCTTTGGGAGAGGGATGTAAAGGACTGCCAAGGACTCGCAGAAATGAGTAATAAGCTCAACTCTCTCCATGCCTCTCGTCATGTGCCCGGCTGGTTACAACAGGGAAGAAAAATCCCACATCTCCTTTCAGCTTTGTAGGACTTTCACCCTGAAGTGGAGTCTACATTTACAGCAATTAAATGTTAGCACAGCCCTGGAAAGACTAAGTGAGACATTTCTAGGATCCATTTCTTTGTGGTTTTATGCGTGATTACACTGAATGCAGATTACTGTTACCTTGATCTGAATTTATTTTCCCGACATCTGACATAAACTTCTAAGAGTAAGAAATATCAGGTTTTAATCAATCCCTGTGCTCCCCTCCAATTTAACTGTGTTCATGGTCATGCACATTGATTTATACAGTCAACGCATCTCAACTTGATCTCGCCATTGAGAACATTCCAGACTGAGTGTCACCTCACGCATGATCACTAATTGTGCCCTCAATCACCTCCCTGGCCTCGCCTCTCCCCTCGGGTCCACTAAGTGCATCCCAACTGGACGGCTCTTGTTAGGCCGCATGTTCACCAAGTCCTTCTACAATCATTCACGTGGCACCTGTTATGAGCAAAGCATGGACACCGGTGTACAGAGACCATGCAGACACACAAAACACGGCCCTCTGCCTTGAAATCTACAGTCTAACTAGAGAAATAACATGCAAGACTAATAAGATATTACAGGGAATCAAAAGAGCAAGGGAAGAAACTGCAGCTTAGGTAAGGTGGGAGGGCACCCCAGACAAGGGGCTCCTAAGTTAGCATTTAAAGGGTAAGATTCCTGTGGGATAAAGTAGGGAAGGAGCAGCCCAGGAAGAGACACAGCACCTAGCAACGAGTGGCTGTGAAAATCAAGACAAACTGACCAGAAGCAAGATGCAACGCAGACGATACCAAATAATGGAAGACAGGCGAGGATCTCCGCACATGCTGCCAGAGAAGACCGCCCTTTGAAAGCGCCATTTCAGCATGCGATGGTATGGCATGAACCATTCGTTTAAAGCAGAAATAAATAAATAAATAAATAAATAAATAAATATCAAGTAGCACGCGGTTCAGAGTAGCTGTTCAAGCAGGAGCACACCTGCTGAACAACAGTCACTGGGCCACCACGTCCAGCTGAGCAGGTCGCCTGGCGTCCACGTGATGGACTTCCTGAGACTGCAGCGCACAACCCGGTCAACTGCATTCAGTGACGCTGACAGTTCCCACAGGGAGGGACCTAGCTTCCTGGGGTCTTGTTTTGCAAAAGGGTACTCAAAGGGACCAAGGGCAAGAAATCAAGTCTCTCAGCAGACTACAATCAGTTGCCTGGTCCAACCTCTTGAAATAATACGGGAGAAAAATGCAGGTACAAGGCAAGGCACTCTATTACTGAGAAACACCGGGAGGCCAGACAGGGGCCCAGACCACAGGTAAGTGATACGAGTATCAAGATTAGTATGATTCTATTAGTAACTTCTATGTAAGAATTCTTACAGATTCTTGAAGTGTTACCTGAAACTAATCTAGTTTTGTAATAAAGAAAATAAAAAGAATTCTTACAGCTTCTTTAAGAATTTGAATTAGTCCCAGAGTCTCACACCACCATGTCCCCAAACCCCAACTACTGATGGAATTTAACTGGCCATAGGACAAAATTATTAGAAACTAAAACATGTCATTACATCATTATTTAATAAAAAAAACGTTTATTTTAAAAATTTTAATTATTTTAATTATTTTAATTATTTAATATGAAAACATATTAATACCAGTTACTGCTTCCTTTCATTACACATAACACTTCAGCTGCATTATAACTATTAAAAGCTTTAAGCTTTAGCCTGGAAATCCAGGTTTTCTGAGCACCAAATATTCTACTTGCAAATTCACTTTTTTGGGTGAGTGGTGAGTGGGGCGGGGGGGGGGGGGGGGTGTGTACTAAAGTGCAATATTACTTAATACACAGAAATCATGTAGAACCAACTGGCCAGAGGAAAATCTTTGTTTGGTAGTAATATCAGCAGGCCTTTTGACATACATTTTACTTATATCATCACATTTAATCCTCACGAAAACCCTAAAGACAGTAATATCTATAAGGAAACTGACATTTAATGAATGATTTCTAAGTACAAGACACTTTTCAAAGTTGTTCAAATGTGTAGTATTACCCCATTCAATCCACATGATAGTCCGATGAGGTAAGTACCTTTATTATCTGACTTTTGCACGTAATAAATACAATTGAGAACTCGGGGACTTTCCTAAGGTTACATTGCTAATAAGAGGAGTCTGATTTCAAGGGTTTCACACCACTTGACTCCAAAGCCCAGGCAGGCTCCAGACCACAGCTTTTCCCTGTTTCTGCAATTGGTGTACATGGAATAAGCAACACTGTTTACACTACTGTCAGAATTTTGTCAAGTATTGTTTAGTGAATGACCAAAGACCAGCAATAGCCAGAAGCAAAGGTATGATTAAAATACAGCAGATTCTCTATGGGTCGGGATCCAAATAAGTCACTATTTTCAAAAGACTTAATGAGCTCTGATGGTGAGTTGTTTTAAAATGCTGAAAAGAAACACTGTCACCCAAAGTTACAACAGAGAATATTGCTGCAAAACAAACAGAAAACCAAATAAACAAAGTAAAATGCAAGGAAATGAGGTTAGGGTGAATCATATCCCAGGCCTGCCTAGGTTTTAGAAAATGCGAAACTGAATCCACTCCAAGTAAATGAAGCCTGTGGAAATCCTGCAATTTGATATTGACAAGGGTTTAATTTTAGTTGAAAAGATTCTAGATATACATGAGGGGGGGGTGGGGGGGGGGCACAGTCTATAAGTATCAGAAGTGACCATATGGCTAAATCTGAATAACTCAAGATCGACACAGCTTATTACCTATTAGCACACACGTTTAATGACAACTTATGTGGTCTTAAAATTTTGTATATTGTTTTGCTAATCTCCAGGCTTAAAGGATTCTAGAATTGCTTATTTTCAAATCACAATCTGCTCAAGGAAGGTAGAGGAGGAGGGAGAAGAGACTTACTGGGGTTTAGACCATGAAATAAAGCAAAGGCCCGCAAAGAGCCCAGGTTGATTACTGATCTAGTATTCTTCCCATTCTAATCCACTTCCTCCAGACGGAGGTTTCTGAATCCTACAGTGAGCGTGGTTTAGAACTCACCCAGATTAAAGCATTCATCTCAGAACAGCAAAATGGTCCCAACTCACATAGTTACTGGCAACAGAGCCAGAAAGAGTGGGCACCCTGACTCTTTAGGCACACACAGTTCCTGTGCACACACACAAGGGCCGTTTACAGAGAGCACCTTATTGGAAATGCGGGTACTCACGAGCACAGGCTCGCTACTTAAAGGACACTGTGGTGGGGAGATAAACACTTTTGCATTAAAAATATTTTTTTAATTACCTAGAAAAATTACATATGAGGTGATGAACACCACTGATCATTAGGGAACTGCAAATTACAACCCCAATGACATACCACTACGCACCCACTAGTATTCAAAGCACTTACACACAGCACTAAGTGTTGGCAAAGATATGGAGAAACTGGAACTCTCACCAGCAGTTAGTGGGAATGTAAGTTGCACATTTTGGAAAACTGTTCGCACTATTTACTAGACTAGAAACACATGCATCCTATAACCTAGCAATTAAATTCCTGGGTATATGTTCCAACAGAAATGAGTGCTATATCCAACAAATATACAACAATGTTCGTATCAGATTTATTCATACTGACCCGAAACTAAAACACCTTAAACATCCATGAAAAATAAGAAGAGAAATAAACATGATACATGCATATAATGGAATACTATTCAGCAAGAAAAAAGAATGAACTTCTGCTATATAAAACAACATGATGAATCTCACAGAAATAAAGTTGAGCCAAAGAAGCCAGACATGAAAGAGTACATTGTATTATAATTCCATTTAGAAGAATAAAGTAATTTATGGTACTAGAGGTAAGATAACGGTTACCTCAGGGAGGGGAAGGCATGTACGGGAGGACACAAAGGGAGTCTTCTGTGATGCTGGGAATGGGCTGTATGTTGATCTAGGAGGTGGGTACATGGTTGTACACATATGCAAAAATTTGTCAAACTGTACTTACGATGTTGTGGACTTTGCTATACACAAGCTACGGCCCATTCCACGGTATCGTCTGCTCCATGTCCTTTCTTGTCACGAACTTTGTTCTTTTTCATTGTTGTCCATCTGTATCGTATTGTATGAATGTACCCCAACTTTCCTTCTTATTGGTGTGGAGCATCTGTATAAAAAGTGTAAAAATTTAATTTATTTTTTATCCCAAATGCACATCTCATCCGCTCACTGGTAGACTGCTTACTAAAATACGAAGAAATAAACTCCATTTGCAACATGACTTTAATGTTGCCACCTTCTGCTTTACGCATGAACAAATCGCTGGGTCCACATTTATTTGTTGCCAACCAAGGTTACTGCGCAAACCTCAATGGCAGAGAGATAGGAATGAAAGTTTTTCTCAAAGACAATATATCGGAGTAGGATAATGTTTGCTTAAAATGACCCTTTGTGAACCAAGAAAACACTGTATTTAGAGGATTGGTCTACGGTGAATGAACCTGCGTTATTTCAGAGAACTTCTGTGAATGGGAAAAAGAATGAGAACCAACCGCGGTGCGATAAAGGAGGCTCGCTGTCACAGCGCAGCCCGGTGGACACCAGGTAGCTGTAAAATGCCGAACTCCATCTCTCCGTCCGCCAACATCACCAACTGCGGCGCCGTGCGGAGCCCCTTCTGCGCATCCTCCCAGTAAGGCCTCGGGACGGGCCCATCACCTCTGCTGCACGGGCGCGGTGACGTCCGTCTGCCTAAATAAGCTCACAAACAGCTCCTCCTAGGTTCTCTCCTGGAAGTTATAAAACTTTTAGGCGGTTTCTCCATTGACATCTTCCATGCCTTTGAAATTAATCTTTGTTTATGGTGTGCGGGATGGATCCGCGGGAGAATAGGTGGAATCGCTCGTGAAAGTGTGTAAGAGCAGCCCGGCCGGTGTGGCTCAGCGGTTGGGGGGTGGACCTATGAACCGGGAGGTCGCGGTGGGATTCCTGGTCGGATTCCCGGTCAGGGCACGTGGGGGGTTGTGGGCTCGATCCCCAGTGGGGGGGGGGGGGGGGGGCGTGCACACCATTGATGTTTCTCTCTCTCTCTACCTCTCTTGTCCTCTCTGACATCAATGAAATAAATAAAAGTGTGTAAGTGCAAAGCGTGGATGGAACCCAGGAAAAAAGCCAAGGCACGGCGGGGGAAGCGGCGGGAGAATTCTGAATAGTCAACACCAGGCCCTCAGATCAGCAATCGGTCTGGGATGACGCCACCAGCGACCAAGGGCATTTACGGTAAACACGACCCGTCCGCCCGCGGAGCCACGTCGGAGCCTCTGGAGGAATTCCCCCGTGGAAGCACCGGGGAGGCCGAAGTCCCCTCGGGCAGGAGGGGCTGGGCTGCCCGACGCCCAGGGCGACCCAGGCCGGTGCCGTCACGCCCCCTGGGACTCTCCGAATCGGGTCAGGGGACAAACCCGAGGAAATGAGACCCGCGACCCGCCGGCGGGTACCCAGCGGAACCCTCAGCGGGGAGGCGGGGGCCCAGGGGGGTGCCCAGCGGAACCCAGCAGGGAGGCGGGCGGCCCGGGGTGCCCAGCGGAACCCTCAGCGGGGAGGCGGGCGGCCCGGGGTGCCCAGCAGACCCCCCAGCGGGGAGACAGGCGGCTGAACGACAACAGAACAAAACGGCGGGAAAGGAACTGTGCCCTCGCGCAACCCCCGGCAAAGGCGGGAGTCCCTCCCCTCCCTCCTCCCCCCGCCCCCTCCATCGTGTCCGGAGAAGCAGGGCTCCCCCGTGTACCCGCTGCTCCGACAGGGATGCAGAACCACTGGCCTCGTCCCTCCGCAGAAGTCACGCTGGGGTCCCGGGCGGACTAACCTCCACGTCCCGGCCGCGGGCGGGTCACCTCAGCTCCAGCCGGGCCCTGACCTGCCGACCCGACCTCCCGCCCCGCTCACCGGCGCGGAAGCCGGCGCGCTGTCGTAAAGTGCCGTGAACGCGCCGGCGCTTGGCGGCTCCGCAGGTGAAGCGTGCGGCGTGGGGCCCGGCTGGGCGCGAACCCGCCCCGGGCTGCTGCGCGCGCGGGAAGGCTGCAGGGAGCGAGTTGGGGAGCACCCGGCCCGACGCCGACGCTCTCGCCGGGTGAGGGTCTGCTGCTGGTCGGGGAGCAGGAGAGGAAGCGGTGGGGCTGCTCAGGAACAGCGATTCGCACCCGATCCTTGTTGAGGAGGCGGGACGTCAGGTGCCACAGCCTCACCCTGGGGCTCGCGGGGCCGCCAGGTGCCCTGTTGGTTTCCCTCTTCGTGTGCATCGCTAGACGTCGGGTGTCCTCGGGTAGCTGACACCTGTCTCTCTTGTCCATTTGTCCTGCAGGCGCCCTCCCCCCTGGGCTTTGACATGCTGTACCTGGTCGGCTTGGGCCTGGGAGACGCCAAGGACATCACGGTCAAGGGCCTGGAAGTGGTGAGGCGCTGCAGCCGCGTGTACCTGGAAGCCTACACCTCGGTGCTGACCGTAGGCAAGGAAGCCCTGGTAGGTGCCAGCCTGCGGGGAAGGCCGCTGCCCCGCAGCCCATTGCATCGCAGCACCGAGCGGAACCGGCGCCCCAAGGATGTGGGGAGAGTGGGATTGTGCACCAGTCAAGCGGCCTGGAAATGAAAGGGCGTCTTGTCGGACTTCGCAAGTCTGATTTTGTGGCTTTCTCCAGTAAATAGGAAGGGAAGGTTATTCTCACCCCCGGGGATGGTTCTCAGAATCCCTTATTTCAGGAGATCGCCAAGAAATCCTTTCTGAGAGGAGGGCGAGTGAGGGGCCGATCCAGCCTTCATGGGCTGGTTACCTATTCAGAAACCAGGCTGAGAGCCGCCCCCGCCAAGGATGTCCATAGAGGATGGTGATTGCCTTTCCGCCTGTGTCCATCCAGAGAGATCTTCTCACCTTTAAACAGCCAGCTCCCACCCCAGTAAGGCTTGTACCCAAACACCTGTGGGTGTTGAGTGATCCTGGTGTACAGCCGGCCGTCATTAAGGGCTCCTTGAATTTTGGAGGAGGGAGTAAGTTCAGGCTCATCGTCAAACTCCAAGTGCAATGTAAATGAAGATGCCCAGGTCGGTGAGCAGGTTATCGGGGGAAGCAGGGAATTTTACAGTTGTCCAGTCTAGCAAGTCTTCCAAACAAAAGGCTTCCCTAGAAAGTTTCAGGTCTTCTATCCTCTCAGAGCCACAGCCTCACGGGCAGCATTATTTCTCTATTCCCTAGTGTTCAAGCTTAAACTAGAGATGGAGAATCTGATTTGGGTGTATACATCTTGAATTTCTTTAGGCAATTTCTGGGGATAAATATATGCCTTTGGTAGAAGGTACCTGCGTGCATGATGCAGAGACGTGGACTATGATGTTTGTTTGCAAGTGGCTCATGATACGTCTGTATCTTACCCAGGAAGACATAAATAATAACGGACGATTTAAGGAGCAGTGCATGATGGCAGTGGGAAGGGGAAACTGTAAAATTATATTGCTGGGAAAAACTCACATGATCTTATCTAAGTCCACATGCTTGCTTTTGCCAACTAGGTAGGAGAAGCTGTCTCATGTTAACTAACTAACTAAGTTGTTCATTACAATTGGAGTAGATCAGTGGTTCTCAACCTTCCGGCCCTTTAAATATGGTTCCTCATGGTGTGACCCAACCATAAAATTATTTTCGTTGCTACTTCATAACTGTCATGTTGCCACTATTATGAGTCGTCATGTCAATATCTGATATGCAGGATGGTCTTAGGCGACCCCTGTGAAAGGGTCGTTTGACCACCAAAGGGGTCGCAACCCACAGGTTGAGAACCGCTGGAGTAGATGTTGCTTTGTGCTGTGATGGTCAGGGCAGACTGCGGAGTGGTGGAATTTGAGCTTTGTTTCAAAACAGTGCACTCCTGGTCTTTCTGTTTTGTTTTTAGTCACATTTACCTCATGGTCCAGCTAGAAAATGGTCATATTTCTGCAGCTCTGCAGGGTCAGTGGAGGAAGCTGTGCCTCCGTCCTCCTGGCCAAAGGGCACTAACTTCGGGGCCCCAGCTCCGTGCACAGAGCGGAGCCCATGGAACTCCGCCCGGCAGTGCCCGGTTGGTGCCTGTGAAGCTGTGCAGTCAGCTGAGGTTCGGAGCCCCAGGCAGGCATGCAGCTTCCCTGTGCTCTTCTTCTTGTCTGTAAAGGGCTAAAAAATAGTGCCACCCCCGCTGTGGTAAAGATTCAATGAACTCCTGTACTACAGACGTTTTCAGAACAGTGCCTGACCGCAGGGTGAGCCCAATGTACCAGTAAATGGATTATTACACATATTGTTATTGTAGATGAGATTTAATAAGAGGATGAACAAGAGCATTTCTTGCTGAAGAAAATATAATCGTGAGCCAGAGCGTGGAGGAGAAAAGCCCAGTGTTCGCTATATCCGTTCTTGGGCATCACTAAACTATCTTCCGGCTCCTCCCGGTGTCTCTGTTCCCTCTTCCTTCTGAACCCACTTCCCCTGGATGCCAGCTCACTCTCCTGGTCCCGTCGAAATGCTGTGCATGGATATTGGAGGGACAGAGAAAAGGACAGCGACGGACTTTGCACTGAGAAATCTGTGGCCAGCTATGACCTCTATTCCCTTCTTCCCCGTGTGTCCTTCCCCTAAATCTGAATCTTAGAAAATGACTTAAACGATGAGGTTCTGGTCCCTGTTCAAAAGTAACTCCATCTAGATGTGTGTGGTGACGGCGAAAGTAAAGAACGTTTTTCATCCATAAAACCATCATCGTCCCTGAAAACCTCCGGAACATTATCTCTAGGAATGGCAGAGGAGAGGGCCTTCCTTTCACATTTGAGAAACAGACCCTGGTCACGCATTAGGAATACTTATTGGTCCCTCTTGGAACGATAGCCTTCCTCCTGAGTTGACATCAGGGGATAAGCTCTCGGAGCACTTCGCATGGAGGCTTCCTGTACGTTCCGAGTTCTCTTTTCCCCTGCCTCTCTTCCTTTCTTAGCAGTAACTAGGACAAACAGTTTTAAATCAGTCTTTCCCGCAATTAGATAGGAATGTTTGCTGCTTCTGTAAACAACTAAATCTTCATTTTCTCTCATTTCTCATTGGTGTGACCTTTTATTTTAGCCAAGGTCCCCTAGATTTTCCCATGGAAAATTTAACAAAACCCAAACTGCCATGTACGTTTATAATTATTGTTTAATACAGTCCTGTATTACTGTGTTTCTGAAGGAAGGCTCAGGCATACGTACAGATTCTCTGTTTACCCTCCAATGTTCTGCCTGGTGTACTCGATCCAGATTTAGAGGTAGATTTAAAATGCAAAAAGCCCCAGATGTTAGGAGGTCTGCCTCCTCTGGGGATATTAAGAAAGCTCCAAAGACAGAGTTTAATTACAACATGATATAGACCGCTAGCTAAGTGATGAGTTGTATTCAATGGTCTGTTTGGATAATTGCCAAGATCATCCACACCAGCCCAGAGATTGGTGCGCGTGTGTTGAGATGGTCACCTGCTGTCTCATTTTGATACTGGACTTAACATCCACAGGAAGAGTTCTACGGAAGGAAATTGATTCTCGCTGACAGAGAAGAAGTGGAGCAAGAAGCAGATAATATTTTAAAGGATGCTGATGTCAGCGATGTCGCCTTCCTTGTGGTTGGCGATCCATTTGGGTAAGTTGAAGCAGGTATTAGCATTTTAATTGCATTTCCTTTTTTTTTTTTTTTAAATCAATAAGGATCATTCTGTTACATTGAAAACCTTTCACCTGCCAGGTTTTGATGGGGGACTCTGTTTGCATGGGCTCTGTCTAAAATCCTATAGTTTGAGCCCTAACTGGTTTGGCTCAGTGGACAGAGCCTCGGCCTGCGGACTGAAGGGTCCCGGGTTCGATTCCGGTCAAGGGCATGTACCTTGGTTGCGGGCACATCCCCAGTAGGAAGTGTGCAGGAGGCAGCTGAATCGATGTTTCTCTCTCATGGATGTTTCTAACTATCCCTCTCCTTTCCTCTCTCTAAAAAAATCAATAAAATATTTAAAAAAAAAAAAACCTATAGTTTGAACTTTCATCATCTCTGATGTAGATGAAGAAAGGGTGCGCTCCTATGCAAAGGGGTGTGTACCATTGCTTCTGCTGTTCTTTTAGGCGGTCACTCGGGCCAGGGATGTAGCTAGTCTATCACCATTAAATAAGCTTGTTACGTTATCAAGCGTCCTACCTGCTCTTTGTTTCACAGGTAAATTGCAAGCATCGCTGCTTCCTTTGTCTAGACCTTTTCCTTTCTAATTATCTCATATTTCACAATATTGCTATCCCTTTACTTGCCTTGAATTCAGCATCTATCAAGCTCAGGTTTCAATTTCTCAGGCCCACGGGGAGCCCTGTCCCTCCCCATGACTAAGAAGATGGGCTTCCCCTTGTCTGTCGGGCACCATCAATCTCTGATGTCAAGCCGGACAGAAGAGTTCTTTGTCTCCAGCTGGTGACCCAAGATTTATGTCGCACGTTTAAGGGACATAAGGATCATCTAATCACCGTGAGCCCACCACCAAGGATGTTTTTCAAAAGAATGGAGTTATGGTGTGCATGTGTCTGTCAGAAAGGAAGTGATTTATATCCATGTGACGTGCCAGGGATTGGCTGTCATCATTAGACTTGGCTCCTTTCAGATGTACCATACAGCAGCGCCAGCCGTGCTCACGTGCCACCTCTTCCATGAATCCTCCCTTATTTCATTCAGGAGTAAGTGCCCCCTCTCTCTTTTTGGACTCTTAGGCAATTAATTTGTCCTGTGTCAGTGACGGGCCAGGTATAATCCTGGATTCAGATTTACGTAGTAATTGCTGCACTCTGGTTATTTTTCATTCACCCACTGGATTACTATTGGGATATAATAGTTGGGGATACAGTGGTTGGAGACAGGACGGGAGGGGATGCGTATGTTTTACTTGGGCCTTGAAGAATTAGCATTTGG